GGTGTATGCAGCTAAAACGTGCGTGTTCGAGGGGATGATGAAAGAAAAAAAAAAAAACAAAAAAAAAACAATCCTCCGCAAACAAAAAGGAGCCCTTTGCTTGTTTTTCTCTCCTTCTCAATAATCTCTCAGCCGGTGTGACAAAAGACTCCCCGTACGCCAAAATCTGCCAGCCATTAAAAAAAAAAAAAAAACCACCCCATTTTTCGTTAGCACAGGCTCCAGGCTTGAAAGTGACGTATTGCCCCCACGTGGCGATCGGAGGGCACACACATACTTGGAAAAGGCTTGCAGCCCCGGGCGTCGGATGGCGCGAAAGTCGAGTCGCATCGGGACGATGAGCCACATATATGTATAGAGGGACACGTAACGCGGGGGCTCAGGGTCGACTGCTCCTGGCTCGCGAGGAGGCGACGACAGAGAGGAAGAACGAGCCTCTCTCTCTCTCTCGTTGGGGAGGGACGGATGCAGCCGCTCCTCCCTCCCCTTCCATATTCTCTCCTTCCGAGCTGAGAGTCGTTAAAGGGCGGATGGGCGGGTGGTGCACACGGGGAGGGAGGTGTATTGTACATACGCGCAGATCGTAGCAGTTCGTGGCCCGAGTCGCGCCGACTGGTTTGCAACGATAGAAAACGGAGAGAGAGAGAGATGGATGCGGACCATACACTACGATGGAGATGAAGAGAGGAGGAGGAGGAGGAGGAGAGCAAACGACTCTCGGCTCGCTCGAGGAGTACTGGCGCTAGTCAGTCCGACTTCTGACTCGGTCTCAGTGCGAAGCCGGCTCGCAGCCGCCGAGGACGACCACGATTTTCACTTCGTGACGCACCCCAAACCCCCACCCACCCACATAGAGGAGAAAATTCAAAAAAAAAAAAAAAAAAAAAAAAAGCACCGCATGAAAAGAGCTCGTCTCCCAGTAAAAGCGCACGATATCTGTAGATGCTTCTGCCTACCGCATAACATTTTTACCACACGTATAACCCATAGGTGGGTATAAAGATACCCTTCGGGCCCGAGTTGGAGTTATCATCGCCGTTGTATACTGTCTAGTCGTCGTGTACCACAGCACAAGTTAGGTGTACGATATCAGACGCGAAGGGGGGAAAATCAGCTGACTGGGCGTACAAACACTACCATATTGAGGGAGAGAGAGAGAGAGAGGGCGAGCTTTATAGGCTCCGGGCTGCGGCTGCTCGGAGCGGCTCTGGCAGTGAGCGTATAGCCTTTATTGCGGCGTGCAGCCAGGCTGTGTCGCTGCGTGTATATTTTTGCCTTGCGCGTCGAAACAAACGTTTCGAGTGTATTGTACACACGTGCGACTTGCACCCAGTGCGTATCTTTGCTTTTTTTTTTTTTTTTTTTTTTTTCAATTCCGGGTGTGCCTTTTTTGTACGGAGCTTTTTTACGGAGCTTTTTTACGAAAACTGGAAGCTGGAAGGGTCGGAGGAAGTGTTTTTGTTTGCAGTTGTCCTAGTAGCGAGGGTAGGTAAGTTTCCATCATATTCACTCTTTTGCAAATGGTTGTTTGCATCGAGAAATTAAAAAACCCACGTTGTTTTAAATTCCAAGTTGGTGTAAAAAACAAGATTTACTTTCGTGTATAATATTGTAAGCGATAACACGATACTGCTTAAGCTTTGATAGTCCAGTTATCTAACGCAAGTCTTTCGGAATATCTGCTACGTAATTGTGTCTATTCTTGCCTAAGTTCGTGGCTGATTGCCATTTTTTTCAGCGCAAAAGAGCTTGCAGTGCTTAGCTGTTTCTCGTGTTGTTTCGTAGCGATGGACTCTGTTATTTTCGACGTCTTGTGGACGAGGATGCTTTTTCTCGTCTTCATTAAACGTTGAAATCGATCATACTTTCAACGCAAAAGTCGAACGATGATTAATATATTAGAAATAATAATGAGGCATTCACAAATCTTCAATGTAAGCTTTGAACACCGTACGCGATTCTTCCTCTGTTTAATTCGTGGTATAATTAGTTTTATTATTTTTAGAAAAAAGGGACTTTCTCACATAAATTTAATTATGCTTGATATTGAAAAACTTTCAATCCCATCAAAATCAAAAGTGATTGATTCACTCACACGTTGGAGATACCCTACACACCATATATTATCTCCTGCTATACCTCAAGTCAAAACCAAAGTATCCGGTGATTAAGCATTTTCCAAGTCCAATGACCTTAAGGCATATCAAATATTACGTTGCACCGGAAAAATAGTTGATGATTCACTTACGTACACGTATACGTAAACCCCTTAAAAAAAGAAAGTTGATGCTTTTTATTATTTTACGCTCCTGTTATAAGGAAATAATTAGCACAGTCTGAAAAATCCACTCACTCTCGGCCCTCAATTATTAATGCATTGCGTGCGTCAGTACTTACATGTCATCGCGGGACGGTCCGATACAAGCAAGAGAGGAGCGATGTATACGTATACTATGCTTGCGATTTATTGTCAACTCTGGTATACACGTATGGTTGATAATGCGCTATCGCCTCTTCGTTTCCGCGTTTCTCCGCATTTCTCTTACCGCCGACACCTCGTGCTCGAGCGAAAATCATCATAATAATAATAATAATAATAATAATAATAATAATAATAATAATAATAATANCACACCTCGCTGCGCGCTATGCCACTTAGACACCGGCGCCCTTTGCGAGAGATCAATACGAGCTGAATGATGCATCAGGTATGGCTCCAAATTGGGAGTGCCTATTCCCGGAACGAGAGGATAACAAATAAAAAAAAAAAAAAAATTGATTGGCTTTGATTTACTTGGTTTTTGTTGAAAACGGAGCACGTTTCAATCGTCAATGTAACTTTTCACACTTCATGCTCGAGAAGCCCATTCAAAACACGAGGCTTAAAAGACCATGCGGGTATTGTTCGGAGCAACTCGTATCCTGTGTGTACATACATAAGTAGTACACGTGTCGTGGTCAGTGTGCATCGATATGTATACCTGTCGTGTTGATGTAGCACCTCGTTATTGTACGTATACCAGAGTTTTCAAGGATCTTCATTGCAGGAAACTATAGGCTCATTGTCGTTCGATTGCGAAATCGTAGATGATTCAGCTGTTAAAACCTGCGTTTTTGCATTTTCTCTTTCGAAGCTGTATTTATTTATTTGTTTTTTTTTTTTTGTTCAACTATTGAATCAATATTTCCAAGTTACAGTCTTCTGAGAAATAACAATTCATGTTTGCAATGATGCACGCAAAGACCAACTATATACAACTGTTTAAAAGAAATTCAACGAAGCTTTCCATATGTAAAACGTATACGTACATACCGATATTCTTTAAAAATTGCCGATTTCATTTCGATTAATTTAAAAATGTCTGTGGATTAACCACGTAAACTGGAATCGTTGTAGTAAAGCTTATTATTGAATAAAAAAAAAAAAAAAAATTTAGTAATGATAATATACCAATGACGCTCACTCTTTCAATCGAATCACTTTGTACTTTTTCCTAGAATGCAGGAAAAAAAAAAAAAAAAAAATAAAAAACCCAGCCGAATGAGTAATTGACCTAAGAGATAAAAGCCGCTCGCCGTGCACTTAAACGGCCAACCCGCTTAGCCAATCGTGAAAAGTTGTAAATGAACGAGCCAAATAAATTAATAACATCTCTTCAAAAATTCACACTCTACAAACTGCATTAAATCGTTCGACGGAATCATCACTCGCTGCCCCACGATTGCCTGCAATGATTCTCCTTAACTATACGTGCGGCGAACCTCGATGATCGTTCAAGGTGCATGATTTCCTTAAACGGACCGGCCCGTATTGTCTAAGAGCGAAAGAATTAGTCAGAGCAAGTAGACCAGAGTCGAGAGATGAGAACAATCAGATATCAATCTCCCTTGGTGCGAATAGATAAGCATTTCATATAATGTTAAACTCCTCTACAGTACAAATCGTACGTCTGCGTAGCGAGAAAACCCACGCCCATAAGCGTCGATCGCGTGTTTGTGAGATCGGCAAAAAAAGCACGCATATTGGCTCTTTTGGAGCAGCGGTCAAGGCTACTGACTTCCACGTACAGGTTGGCGCACGAAAAACAAAATCGTGGGCATGAATGGTAACCGACACGCTCGAGCTTCTTTTCGCTTTTTTTATTATTACTATACTCATCAAGATCGAAAGTTGTTGTTGTTGTTGATTCTATGTATGCTATACTGAGCAAAAAAGTTTGGACAAAGCGAGGGATCCCATTCGGCTGGGCCGAGGCTGATTTCGATTATAAGTTGTTAGCTGCTGCTTTTATTGCAGTTTAATTAACGCGGAGAAATTTCTCGATAGTTTTAATTGATTCGAGAGAGCCCGCGTCCAAAGCTATGTTCTGTGTGTACTTTCGACAGTTACCGACGTTTTAACAACTTTCAGCCTGATGTACTTTCGATCTCGAATCGTTTCGAGCAAAATCATCAGAGTTTACACTATCCACTGTTGGGCCACATTAGATCTTGCATGTATAGGAATTCCATGGCTCGGTATATCGTTTTATTTTTTTATCGGTAACACCTGGGGACGTGTGCGTTTATCGAAGATAATTTTTCAATCAACCCGAGGTCGGCCGAGAATTTAATCATCACTGTTTCGCGTTGCACGCGAAATCAGAGCCAATCCCCATCCGATCGGCATGTGCTGGCAAGTAGGTCAAACGCTGAGGGTTTGCCGAATCGTAGACGACAAAATTCAATAATCAATTTGCCGTGTATGTATGCACGAAATCTTATTCAGTGTGCCTAAAATGAGCTTAAATGAGGCTGTATCATCAGCAAATGTATAATTATTCGGCTTTATATCAATGGAACGATTGTTGCATTAAACTTCATTTACCTTATTTTATTAAAAAAGTAAATAAAAAAAAAATGGATATAAATCTACTTTTAGTTGGTTTTTAATTTCATAAAAAAAAAAAGAAAAGAAAAAAAAAAAATAGGTTCAACAGACCCATCGAGGAATAGAACGCGGGTGAGTCCGCTAGCACCTATGTACAAAAGAAAAGTGTAACCGCAAAAATCAGAGGGGGAAAAAATACACCGTCGAGGGATTGGAAGGGGAATAGAATTGCAAGACGAGCGGATGCGCGGAGTCACGATACATGTATCCGATGCCCTGCACACACGTGAGAAAAAAACGTCCATGCTTTTCTGACCGTGACGTTAAAATGTATACATAACACATGCACACGCTTGTATCCAATGCGTGAGTTAAAGGGATACTTGTGGGTGGTGTATAGGGCTCGGTCGAAAAGGGGGATATATAAACAATACAGCTATGCTGGACGACGTTTTGGGCTTTTATGTTTATCGTTCACGCGTGTCTTTGATCCTTGCGGCTTATCCGAGTGATAAATTAATCTACCGTACGGTCATACTCTCTGCTTTCGAGCGTTTGATCGGCAATTCGTTTAATCGCTTCGAAGAATAAGAGTCCTGGTACATTCACTTCTTTATTGCGTGACTTGGGGAAAAGAAAAATGAAAAAAATAATTAAATTCTGTTTTTTTTTTTTTTTTTAATAAAGCAATTCGTGTACAAACAAAAATAATCGCATGACGCTGGTAAGGCGCATCGAAGGGGCCATCAGATCTGCGTACTCGAGAGAGACACAGAGAGTCTGTCCAATCGGTATAAATAAATGCGGTGACAAGTGCTTTTCTTTCTCTATTTTTTTTATTTTTTTATTTTTTCGAAGCATCTGCTGCTGTACGTACGGTTGCCGGGATGTTAATCGGCTTTGCGGGAAACGACCGATTTCCACCGCACGACAACAGTACACAGCTTTCGTATACAGATACAGAGCGGATATTAATAAATCTCGGGTATCCCTCGAAACACAGACTCTTTTTTTTTTTTTTTTTTTTTCATTCCCTTCCTCCTCCTTTCCCCATTATATTCCCTCGTCGACGCCAACTCTCCGTTCTCTTATTATTGTCCCGGCGATTTTTCTTTCTCTCTTTTTTTATCTTTCCAACTCTGCCGTACACGTACATATATAGTTTAATCATACACCGAGAGCAGCAGTGAATTTCAATCAAACGGCTCGTTTTCGCACTTCAAAGCTCTTCGGAGCCGCGCGAAAGCTCTTCCATAACGCGGTCGTGGCTGCGTCGGCGGTTTTCCTTTCTCTGCACCCCGACACTCTGCTGGAGAAATTATTTTTTTCCCATACCGAGTCTCGTTCAAATGCTTTTTCGAAAGTATTTTATTTTTTTTTTTTTTTCAACGCAATGGCAAAAAAATGAAATCCAACAATACTCCGTGTGTCGCTCACACGCACACACGGCTTGTCGGACGCTGCACGCGCACAGTAGCAGCTCAGGCTACTCTTTGGCATCGCTATCTCCCGAATCCTTATCTTTGACAAAGAGACACCGAGATAAACATCAGCCCAACGAAGGGGACACGCGGACAGAAGCCGATAAGCCGACCGGAGCCGAGTACCTAGAGACGCAT